GCGAATTAACACGTCAGTGAACTTTGCCCACTTTGCCAAAAGCGAGAAGACGGTTGTCAGATGGAGAGGATAGTGTGTTTGCTATTATTTGCCCCGTTGATCGAGCGAAATAGCACTCATTACGCGAAACTGTAGCAAAAACCTCATAGTCAAAAAATACAAATTCTGGGCGCTTTCCATTCAACCAAAACGCCCGGTTTGAATTTTCAGCAACTTCCAGTAGCGAAAGAAACAGCATTTCCCAAAATTTCCAAAAAAGAGAACAACCTCGCGAGGTATACCCAAATTTTCGAAAAAATTTTCACGAAGTTTTCGTGCCATTCAACTTTGCAACCGGAATTTCTAGAATTTTCGATTGAATGGTTCGCATTTCGCAAATTAAACAGTTTCCGGAATGTCTGGAAACTTTTCGGGAAATTTCTCTACCATTTGCCGCTGTTTCCGAAGTTTGAAAGTTTTGGTTAAATGGAAAGCGCCCTCCAAGTCAGAGATTTCATTCACGATTTTAAATCCCTGATCGTAGTAGTCGATGATATGTTAGTTTCCGATCAACTAGTGGCGACGTTCGTGGAGATTGCGGCATTAACGTTAAAGCCACGGAATGAACCAGAGGATCAATTAGTGCTTTGTTGTAATGATAATCATTATCTCTTTCAGTTATTCCACACCGATGACTACGAGCTTCTGGTTCTACAGAAAAACTGCTGTCCCTTTTGCCGAAAACCTGCGCAACATCTTTAACACGTAACTTTTGAAGATCCCATCGTCATCGTCTGATATCGCATGATCTTATGGACCCAGATGATGTCACAAGCGCGTGATACGGAGTCAGTTACCAATTACTTGGCCCTCTCAGCGGTTTCCAAGTAACAGAACTTGCTGGTTCACCGTTGTTAGTCTGATTGAACTTTGCTTGAAGGGGTCTTTGAAAGGAAAAATTATTTTCCGTCAATTCTCTCCCACGTTCCACAAAGTACGTTTTGCATTCGCCTTTCTTGGCAGTCGACAAAGAAACTGGTCCCTTTGTGCTTTCATAATATAGGATTGAACCGCAGATTAGGAATCGTTCAATTCACTCGGTTGTGTAAATAGTTGTGCTTATTTCTAAGGATGTAAATAATTTATTTGTTTGGCGCAATTGGCGCTTAATGTAAAGAAGAAAACGCTACAGTAAAAACTAAAAGCTGGATTAAAATTGTCTCAGCATCTGCAGTTCGGTTTGTGTTGTATTATTAAGAGAAAAGAACACTTTCTACGGCCGGTTGATAAGATCGTGCTTGCTGTGTTTAACCCTTTAGGGCCCAAGAGTGACCAAAATCAATTTTCTCCCAACAAAATCAGCAGATCAGCAAGAGTAAAGGATATGAGAATTACTAAATTGATTACCAGAGGGAGAATGCTTTGATCTTAAACCAAATTCTCTCAACTATTCTTAAAAGAAATCTATGTAGTTCAGTCTGGAGAATTTGTATGTGGATCAGGGGGCTTAAAGGATTAAAAGGGATATGTCACGAGGATATTGCTATTTTAGGTCAATTTTGTGCTGAAATCATGACTTTTGTCGCCTTTACCTACACCCAAAATGTTCCTGTAGAGTTATGAAAAAGATACCAAACAAATTTCATCGGAGAGCACAAACCATAAATTTTTTGTTGAGTTTTGCAAGCAGTGCATCAAAACTTGATTTTTCACCGGGTTGAAAAAGTGCAAAATTAGGTACAGGTCTGCTGTTCTTTATCGAATGTACGGATTTGCATAAGAATTTATTACATCGGAGTCCTATGGTCATCAAAAAAAAATTAAGTTAACTGCCGCAAGTCACGTTTTAGCTTTTTCAGATAGCAAATAGCATGACCTAGACCTTTTAAGACTTCGTCTCAGTCATTATCCTTTTTCAGCCCTGATTTTCCATTTAGCTCACTTACAGTTTATTTATCACAACTAAAACAACATTCTGCTATCTGACTGGTTATCGGTAGCTCTGATTTCAGGAGAGTACAAGCTAGCGTGGCATAGCCTACAAAAACAGGAGTTATTTTTAAGCCTTTTTGCGTCTTTTAGGCGAGCGTAGGCGGGCGTGCAGCTCAAGACAGGCGCGACGGGGGAAGGCGCGGATTTCGCGCGTGTCTGGCTGGCTCCTCGCTCGCTCGCTTTGCGCTTGCCTTCGCTCGCCTGAAAAGCGCGAAAAAGCGTGCAGGCGTATTTTGCAGTGCGAATGATTTGGACTTTGAACTGACAGAGACTTGAGGCGAGCCAGAAAAAGATTCGAAGGGAGAGGTGCTTTTATTGCGGCTACGATCAATATACCTCTAGGTCGCGCTTTCGTTAAAAAACGCCTGTTCTGCAGGCTAGATTCCAAACGTTAGCGGGATTCTGGATATCTTCTCTTTGAATTCCGGGTTGCAGGATTCTACAGTTCCAAAGCCCAGGACCCATATATTTTCCGGATTCCGGAATGAAAACACTGTTTGTCACGAATCTGCACAATGCATGACAAGTGGGAAGGAGAGAGAGCCTGGGAAAACAACCAAAACTTTCTAAAATTTGAAAACAGAGGCAAATGGTACAGAAATTACCCGGATAAGTTTCTAGAAATTCCAGAAGCTGTTCAGGGCCGTAGGTAGGTTTTTGTAACGGGGGTCACTACAGCGAGTGCCGAAAGCACGAGCCTTGTAGTAGGGGGGGGGGGGTCTGGGTCCTCCCGCAGAAAATTTTAAAAAGTGGCCCAACTTTTTCACGTTTTAATCCATGTCCAGACGACAAGAAATAGCTTACATGCCTAAACGTATTCTTAAATAATGTAGCCTCAGGATACCAGTAGTTTTTTTTTAATTCAATTGACGGCGTAGTCACGTTTTAGCTTTTTCAGATAGCAAATAGCATGACCTAGACCTTTTAAGACTTCGTCTCAGTCATTATCCTTTTTCAGCCCTGATTTTCCATTTAGCCCACTTACAGTTTATTTATCACAACTAAAACAACATTCTGCTATCTGACTGGTTATCGGTAGCTCTGATTTCAGGAGAGTACAAGCTAGCGTGGCATAGCCTGCAAAAACAGGAGTTATTTTTAAGCCTTTTTGCGTCTTTTAGGCGAGCGTAGGCGGGCGTGGAGCTCAAGACAGGCGCGACGGGGGAAGGCGCGATTTCGCGCGTGTCTGGCTGGCTCCTCGCTCGCTCGCTCTGCGCTTGCCTTCGCTCGCCTGAAAAGCGCGAAAAAGCATGCAGGCGTATTTTGCAGTGCGAACGATTTGGACTTTGAACTGACAGAGACTTGAGGCGAGTCAGAAAAAGATTCCAAGGGAGAGGTGCTTTTATTGCGGCTACGATCAATATACCTCTAGGTCGCGCTTTCGTTAAAAAAACGCCTGTTCTGCAGGCTAGATTCCAAACGTTAGCGGGATTCTGGATATCTTCTCTTTGAATTCCGGGTTGCAGGATTCTACAGTTCCAAAGCCCATGATCCATATATTTTCCCGATTCCGAAATGAAAACACTGTTTGTCACGAATCTGCACAATGCATGACAAGTAGGAAGGAGAGAGAGCCTGGTAAAACAACCAAAACTTTCGAAAATTTGAAAACAGAGGCAAATGGTACAGAAATTTCCCGGATAAGTTTCTAGAAATTCCAGAAGCTGTTCAGGGCCGTAGGTAGGTTTTTGTAACGGGGGTCACTACAGCGAGTGCCGAAAGCACGAGCCTTGTAGTAGGGGGGGAGGGGGTCTGGGTCCTCCCGCAGAAAATTTCTAAATTGGGAGGCTTCAAAACGCTATTTTCAGCATTTGTAATGAGATATGTCTCCGAGAAATCGCCCTCGAATATGAAACGGCAAACAATTGCTATTCACTATAATCAAAATAACTGAGTCTAAAGAAAGCAAATCCATCCACAGACTTGACTTGTCTGGCTCAACAGGTCCAGGGGGAGGCAGCTACCCCCCCCTCGCTAGCTACGGCTCGGCTGTTAAATTTCCGAATGCGAACCATTCAAGGGAGAATTCTAGAAATTCTAGGAGCAACGTTGCATGGAAAGAAAACTTCCGGGAAAAAATTTTCGAGTTGGGTAGAGGTTTTCCTCCTTTTTGGAAATTTTGGAAAATGCTGTTCTATTCGCTACCGGAAGTTGCAGAAAATTCAAACCAGACGTTTTGGTTGAATGGAAAGTACCCTTTGATTTCAGCAATTTGTGAGTCAACGCGATAATTTTCACGATCTATGCCCTATCGCCCTTTGGCGAAAATATAATTCGAGCTAATTCGCTAGGGGAATGATTGCGAAAATATTTCTTTTTGTAAAGACCTGAACTTGCCTTATCAGGTTCGCGTGAAAGAAACATCGTAGTGATAGGTTTTGGATAAAATGTGGCGCTTTTATGGCAAAAGGGATTTGGAGTTGTGGATAAATATTGTATCGTAGTTGTTCCATTTGAATGAATTACAGCTCATCGGTCTAATATAACTCGGGGTAAATTACATATCAGTAACGTCTCGCTCACGATCAGTCACAATACATACTAAAAATAATTGTAAGAAGGGTCTGCTCGTTGAAGTTTGTAGTTTTGCTACAGAAAAAATCCGCAATGAACTCCATTGTTTAGATTGTAATATTACTTGCGTATACACAATATATAAAACCAATAATTAAAAAAGAATAGCCACACGCAAAGAATAGCTACAGGTTGCAGGTTAGGCAAAATTTAATTATTTTTTAAGTTACTTTGACAGATTAGGAATTTTCCGTTTTGTTTACCGGCGAAATTTATTCACGGGCTTTTCCCATAACAATGATCACGTGACCTTATGACACGTGTACTTGACGCGGCCCTGTGTGTTGAAATGTAAATTACAAGCGGATCTCAGAAAAGCAGCTGTGGGCAGACAAAGTTCATCCAATGTGACTTGCTTGAATACATTGGTTGGCTCATTTTCTAGTTAAGTCACGGGGCTGAAGGAAGGTTCACTTCATTTCCATAGGACTGAAGCGTTTTAGGAGTCGATTGAGATGGAGCGAATTCAAAACGGCGGCCCAAGAGCAAACGGTTTCTCGTCGAGGAAGATGTTAAAAGGAATTGATCAGCTGGCGTGGCAGCGAATTTCCTACAAAGCATTGTTCGCGCTGCTCTTCGCTACGCCTGCATTGGTTCAGTATGGTTTGGGCTTGCCGTTTTGGTGCTATCCCATAGCGTTTGCTATCCTGTTCCTGCCTGTTTTTGGAGTTTTTATGATGGCCTTCAACCGAATGTGCGTCGCTGAGTACGGTGTGCAATCAACCAACGTCTCACGGTTCATTGATTTCAGTGACCCAACCTTGGCATCAAAATACGCCAACAAAAAGATTCCTATGGAAGTTCTGTACGAAGCTTACGCTGACGGCAAGCTAGACTTTAAATGTGATGTCCTAGAAGCTCTGGAAAATCGTCATCTCTTCTCTACCTTCGAACTGACATTTGATCACATCAGATTTTTGATTTACAATTTTATTCCCGAGCTGATCTTTCACTCGAAAATCCAAGACGCCGAACAGGTTTGCGATCATTATGACCGTGGAAATGATTTCTATGAAGCTTTTCTAGGTCCCATGATGATCTACACCTCGGGGATTTGCCGAAATGAGTCGGAAACGCTTGAAGAAATGCAATCGAACAAGCTCAAAATGGTCGGAGAGAAATGTCAGATGAGGGAAGGCGACAAACACTTGGATATTGGTTGTGGGTGGGGTACGCTAGTCAATTATGCAGCTGAGAATCACGGCACTCACTCAACAGGCGTTACCCTGGCTAAACGGCAGATTGAATGGGGGCAGGGTGTGGCCGAAAAAAAGCAAGTTGGCAGCCGAATTAAGTTTTTGTGCATGGACTATCGTGATATCCCGAATACAAAATATGACAAGATAACTTGTCTGGAAATGGCTGAACATGTTGGTGTGAAAAATTTCCAGTCCTTCCTGGCTCAGGTGCGAGACATGCTGGAAGACGATGGCATCTTCTTTCTGCAGATCGCTGGCCTGCGCAGAACATGGCAGTGGGAAGATTTCATCTGGGGACTGTTCATGGCCAAGTACATCTTCCCTGGGGCAGATGCCAGCTGTCCTTTGGGTTGGATTGTCACCGAGCTTGAGCGAGCTGGCTTTGAGATCCATTCATCAGAGACCATCGGGGTTCACTACTCGCTGACGATCAATCGCTGGTACGATAACTGGATGAAGCCTGCAAATCAAGCAGCCATGACAGAAAAGTATGGCCGAATTGTTCGAATCTGGAACATCTTCCTGGCATGGTCCACCATCATAGCACGTCAAGGGAATTCTACTTGCACTCAACTGGTATGCCACAAAAATCTTAATGTATATGACCGGTTAAAATTATTTAAAGTAAAGTCCAACTAAGAATACACTTAGCCCTGGTAATACATAAATAATGTTAAACTAGATCTAAAATGAGCTTTATTCTTTGAAAGATGCTTGAATCCTGTTTTTTTTTTCTTGAAACAAGTTATGCTTATGATAATGATTCTGATGGCTAAGCCTCAATTTTTTTGCTCCGTTATTTAGCTGATTTTATGGTCAACTGCATCTTTCACAGGAACAAGCTTTCAAATATTAGAAATCACTTTCTTTCCACATATGTTAATATTTTTCTGATTTATCAGCAATTGCCTCATCTTAAGCCACAGCATTCTTTATTGTCAATTAAAATTATAGTTTTAATGGCATGTTTGTGTAGCAAAACAATGGCAAAAAAATTATTTTCCTATGTTATCGTACTGGGGAACTGGTTTATAAAAGTGATAACAAGCTATTTTTGCAACAATTCGCTTGGCATTTTATTCTAAAATTTCTGCAACCAAACTAATGCGGAGTGATGTCATATCTTTCAGTTTACAATGGATTTTATATGTTACTTGACTCATGCTGATCGTCAAAATGAAGATTTTAATCCAAAATTTCGTTTCACTTAAAAAACGTGGTTTGCTCAGGTTATTTGTGAAACAAAGGAATAATGTTTTCTCCATTTGAGTCTAATTTGTGAATGACTAGAAACGTTTTTGGCTAGCTTCCATGAGATGATGATAGTTGCCTACAATTATTTTTCAATGTTGTCATAGCCTTTAGGATATCTACTTTTAGAATCAAAATGTGGAACTCAGCTAAGTTACTTGAAGTTTTTACTCAGAATATTTAAAATCCAAAGGTAATTTCTCAACTTGTTTGTCAAGTTTTATCCCATGAAGGTAGGTGCAACGATAGAGGAAATTTGGCTATGAGAAGAACAGCTGTTCAACACAAAAACATAACTCTAATTTGAATAGGATTTGGTGTATTCATTAGCCACTTGGAATATCCCTTGAATAATTTATTGTGTCAGTATTCTTAAGATTAGCTTGGCCTTGATTAAGTTAAAAATCATGTTCTTCTCACTCTAAACGTTGAAAAATTAATAGCAAGAATGTATTTACAATGTATACTGTAACAATTCGGTTTTTCATGCTGAGGGGAAATGGTTACTTGGTTACAAATTCCCTCAGAGCGTTTTGGGGGTGAACCGCCCTTGTTATGCAAATTTCAGTCAAATGTTGTTCTGCATAATTTGAATTAACTTCTTGCAAGGGATAACATGAAATCAATTTTAAATATGTTTTTGAGAAAGGGAATTAAGAGAATAATTTTAATTTATAATCAGGGTACACGGTAATGTGATTTCTTTTTGCATCAGTTATATCATTGTAAACATTACAATTTAACATATTTATACGGAAAGGGAAAACCAGTTATACAAAGCCGCCTATTAAACGAGGGTTATTTACCAATCAAGACTGTTTTCACCATCTTAGAGTTGCTAGCGTAAAATTTATTTTGCTGACAGGCAGATAATAAGCATAAAGATCGGAAAAAGAAAATATTGAAAGAGTATTTTTTTTCTATCTTGAATTTTTCCCCATTTTTAATGATTATCTTCTGGGCATTAGTAGTTATGTTTTTTTTGGTTCTTACAGTACAGTGGTGGTATGTAAAAAATATTTAATAGGTGGGTCATATTGGTTTTATCATTGGAGAATATTACCGGCCACACTAGCTAGTCGGTCAGTTTAGATGTTGTTGATTATGGTACCGTAAAATTCCGAAAATAAGCCTCTCCATGTATAAGCCCCTCCAAATATAAGCCCCCCAAAATCGTAACGCAAAAAAGCCTTCGCTAAATCGCCGCCCCGAATATAAGCCCCCCGGGGTGCTTGTACTTGGAATTTGCCCTCGAATACAAAGTAAAACAAAGCAAAAACGGTAAATTTCCTTCCAACTATAAGGCTAGCCCAATCGATTTTGAAATGCAAATTTCCCTCCGTACATAAGCCCCTCCAAATATAGGCCCTTCCAAAAATAAGCCCCTCAAAAAGGGCCTTTGAAAAATATAAGCCCCGGGGCTTATTTTCGGAATTTTACAGTATGTTTAACTGGAACAATGGAACAGTATTATAGAGCGTTTTCACAGTACGTCACACCGGCAATGTTGGTGTTCCCTAACAGCCACTGTGATCTAACAGAGCCCGGTGGACCGTGGTGCCTAACTTTTGCTCTCGGGTGACCAGAAAATCTACTGTTAATTCTCTGTGAAGCTCCCCCTCACAAATAAGCCCCCTCCCTCCCTCTTTTCAATTTTCCTTTGAGCACAGTCTTGCCTAACAAAAAAAACAGTGGCCATGTGTATGTCCCAAACCAATCAAGTAAGAGTTGAACTCTTTTCTTTGGTAAATGCTCTCTTTTGTTCTAATACCTTTTCAAAGATGCTGGCCACGTGAGTGAAAACGCTCTATAGTACAGTGAGCTTAACATAAACATACTTTTTTTTTTTTTACTAAAATTATTGTTTAATGTCTATAAATATTAATTAACCTGCCAGCATTAAGTGGGTACCTTGTAATATGAGGCTAAAGAAAAGTTGTTGCTTGTTTCATTGGCATAAGAGCAAGTGGTTAGAGGTGACATGCGAGTGAGCAGCTGGTCTGGAAAATACATTTCTCACTGGTGAGAACTGTATCGTATTTCTGCTTTAGCCACCAATTCTATGCCATTAAAGCAAGACACTTACCTTAAAATTAAATTTGGCCCACCGAAAATCACACCTGTACTTGATGGTGGGCTGCCTGTCTTAATTATTATTTATGAGGCCAATCGCGGGTGCTTAAATGAGTTTTCTTTAAAATATTAATTTATATTTGCAATTATTGTGATTATACTATCTATTTAATATTATATTCATTTATAATACAATTTCCCATTTTAATTCTGACTTACTTTGTGAGTTAATTCGTGCAATAAGGAAGAGCAAAGGATGTCAGATTGTGGGTTAAAATTGTGCTTTGTTCCTTGTCAACTTCATAGTAGTGAAGTCATTTTATATTTCAGTTAATTATTTAGAGTGTTGTTAATGTTGTGTGTAATAATATTGGAGTGACTATGCACTTATAGTTGCTTCTTAAAATCTTGATTATTTATTAGCCATTGCATCTTATTAAGTGTTTCTGTTGGAGTAAAATTATTTTTGCTAAAAATTATTGTCAAAAATAATTCATAAGTGTGAGGACTTTTCTCTTATGATACTACTAAGGTTGGATACATATACAAGTGAATGTCAACATTTAATAACTCTAATTTTTAGTGATCATTTTCCTTATACTCATGATCGTAATATTTCAAGGCACATTTAGCAAAGACATCACAATACCAAATGAGAACGCAAAAGCACATGACTTCTGGTGCTTAGTTTGCTGCTCTTTGATTGGTCAAGCTGGTTTTTCGGCCTGCATGCACCATTGTTTTTGCTATCACATTGTCTTTGCTAAATCTGCCTATTAAATGCTAGTCACTGTCAAAAGGATGACTATATGAAAATATTTTCAAGCAAGGTTTTAGCCTGGTGATTGTGGCGTAGAGAGGGAGGAGGTGGCAGTTCTGAGGATAATACAAATCACTGTATTTTTACGCCCTGAGAATAGGCCATTTCAGGTTTCCAAAAACTTTCAAAACGAGGTTACATGCAAAATCGTTCTTGTGAAAGTAAGTTTTATTTGCGTGAGGATAAAATATCATTTTCACATCACTGGTTTGGCATTTAAATTCGCTTTGAAACAATAGCTTGTGGCATTTAGAAATGGCCCATACGCCACATCTCCCATAATGCACCTTACTTGCCCACCAAAATTTTGCATAAGCATTGTTTTCAATTTCTCTTGGGACGACTGTAGTACCCAGGAGAAATGAAAAACAAAGGTTATGTAAAATTTTGGAGGGCAAACAAGGTGCATTATGGAAATGTGCAAGTGGCGTATGGAGCTTTTGTTTACAGAAATAGGGAGGAAAGGGCTTGCCCCCTTGGCCACTCCATCACCACCTTAAGGGTGGGACCTTCCCTTGGATAACTCTCGGAAGCCACCCAAATTTTTTAGGTAAAACCCTGTTTGCCAAAGCCGGGGTAAGTTGACACCCTCACCTACAGTTTTAAGATTTAAAAGAATGAGTGAAATATAGTATATTGCTAATATTATACATAATTATTTACTTTATGCTTGTGCTTAAAAATGGAAATTGCTTGGCAGTGCTTTCTTGTTGACTTTACATAGTGCATCGTCAAATTTTGCAAAAAAAAGGTTATGATTGTAAAATTTTGGTGGTAACTAGTAAATGAATAAAATTATTTGTGGTGTAGTGGTATATGAATGTTATTTTATGTTGATTTACCCAAGCCTTTAGAATACAGGCCTAGGTTGTTCAAAAGCTGGATAGCGCTATACACCGGATAAATCACTATCCAGCGGAAAAGTTTTTGGGAAACCAATTGCGTTATCCACTGGATAGAGATTATCCATGGGATAGCACTATCCACCTTTTCAACAACCGGGCCCTGTACACTGTATACGCGCTCAACCTTATGCCCACCAAGGGCCTGTTTACATGGAGGTGGTGGACCTCTGATAGGTGAGGTAACATGTGGCGGTCACCCCACCTATCATGTAAACGTGATCAATTTAATTAAAATGAGAGATTATATGAACAGGGGGGTTACCCCACCAAAGCGGGTTACCTCACCTACCTGGGGTCTCCCACTTCCACGTAAACAGGCCCTAACACCTTCGGACTTTTTTCTCACACCTGGCGGAAAAAATTCAGCCACCACAATAAATATATCACAAGTGAATTAAAGTAGAACCATTTGCTGTTTGTCCATCTCTCTTGATACACCTTCTTTGCCCCCCACCACCAAAAAAAAATCATGCACATTGTCTTCAATTTCTCTCTGGGGGACTGTAATACCCAGAAAAAAAATTACAAACAAAGGTTATGCAAACTTGACGGGGAGTAAGCAAGGAGTATTATGGGAGATAAGCGAATTG